CTTTTTTAAAAAATCTGTAATACTCGAAATGTCGTAAGGAGACAATATAAATAAATATATATTTATTACATTAAAAAATTACATTTTTAAAATATTTCTATAAAAATCTTTTTCTCATTTCCTCCTTTTAAGAATTGCAATTGATTCCATCATTTTTCAACTTAATAATTTGGTAGATAGAATTTATTATTTTTATTGAAAAATGACCAAATATTAATATATACTTGTTTGCAGGTTAAATCTATATATAAAGTTATTTACCGTGTTGTTTATCATTATGGGTATAAATTGCTTTATGTATACAATTTCAAGGTTGTTATTACCAACACAATTATATAAATATAGTTATTACACTGAAATTGTTAGAGCCTTGTTAGATGTAGTACAAAATTTCTTCATGTTTATCATATTTGTATGGAAGAAGAAAATCAAGTTGATGTTACTGAAACGATTCGGATTCAAGACGAATGCATCGACTAACACATCGAATATCACATTTGAGGTATCTATGCAGGAAATGTCGAACTCTTGCGGAGAAGAAAACTGTCACACAAGATTCATCTAATAGGATTGAATTCTAATGTTGTCAGTGTGTAAAGAAAAGAGTTTTATAAAATAAAAAATCAACAATTAATTATTAATCGCAATTTAATATAATCTTATAATTAAAATTAAAAGTAAATTTACAATTTAAATTTATATTTTACGTATAATGTATAGGTTTCTTCGAAGAATTTTATTTCAAATTGAACATGGAAAATTTGTCTTATTGGTGCATATAATTAAATCAAATTAATGGAATTACTAGAATTAAATTTTGTAAACATTTTTCTTCAAAAAATAATTTTGTATAAAAGCTATACATATATATATATATATATATATATATATATATATATATAGTGCTATAATATTATACAAAATAATTCTGATTGAAATAAAAATATGTTATATATTTATAAATATAAGTATATAAAAAGAAATTAAAATTTGTTTTAAACTGCTGACATGGTCCACACAAATAAATTACGAAAATTTTCAATTGCGACTGTTATGTCTAATTATTATTTGATTTTTATTGTTTGGTAAAATGGAATTTTTTGTATATAGGTATTTAGTGTAAATAAGCTATGTCAAAAACGCGTTTTTCATATATACATATACACACACATTTGATGCTAAGAACATTTTATAATAATATATTATGCACTTAAGAATAAATTCTCGAATTTGAATATAAATATTTCTGCATTATAAAATGCAAAATATTTAATAGTAATTATGTATATAAAATATTTGATATGTAAGAAACAATTATAAATTTATGTTATAAGTTTAAAAATGTAACATAACTTGCACATAAAATACTAAATTAAGAAGAAAAGTGTCGCTTTGTATTTTTACAACAAATTTCAATTTAACATGTACGACTATTATTACCGATCATATGCAATAAAGGAAGAACATATTTAAATTTCAATAAATTAAATTTCAAGCAAATATAAATATATGTTCGCTAAACAAGTCAAAAGAGCGATGTCGTTACCTCAATTATTGCAATAAGTATTTTTTTCGCTGTAATTGAATAATTGTGATCGAGGCACGCATTTGCTGAGACACTGTCAAGACTTCTTAGGAATTGTATCTCAATTGATGGCTCACGCATAATTATTTAATTGTAGCGCTAAATTCATTTTCGCAATAATCCACATCGCGTTCGGCTTTGTCAGCCTACATATTTATATTTGTTTTATATTAGAGCCGAATATAATTCATAATTGTTATTAAATTTCAAACATTACAGGAACACTACCAGAAATGTTCTTAATCTCTACTTTTAGTTTTTCTACGTAATTATCACTTACAAGGGCAACACCAGACATCGTTCCCTCCGATTTGGCCGAATCTAAAATATGTTGTATATGTTCACACTAATTCATAGTAAAAAAACACAACCCAACTCTCAAGCATTTTTGAAAAAAATGTAACTCCTTTAATCTTACGTAAAAATAAAACTAAAAAAATTTTTTTAGAAAAAGGTGAAAGAGCGCCTAGATCAACGATATGTATAAAAGCGTAATAAAAAAAACAGTATGTTTCAAAGTATTGCGTAAACTTGTGTTGTCAAATTAATACTTCTAAAAAAATAATGAAATCAAAAAGTTGCGCCAAATAAAGTTATATTCCAAAAAATTACAAATCAAAAACTTATACAAAAATTAAAAATTTTTAATTTTTATTATTAATAATAAAAATTTAAAAATAAAAAATTTTAGTTAAAAAAACTTGACGCTACTTTTCAAAATTGCTAGAATGTATCTTATCTGTAATACATCTTTTGTTAGAGTAACAAATAATTAATTTACTGTAATAAAATTATAATACATAATATTTTTTTTTAAATTGCTTGCATCAATAAGCGTGATTTTATACGAGCTTATCTATATATGATGATTCAATGATGACAGAACTTGGTAAACGTGTTTTCCTTCCCGAAGCAGAATGTATGTATATCTGTGAGAGGAAAATCTATATTTATCATTTAAACATGAGAAGTATATTATTCGACGTAATATTGTCAGCAATTATAAAGCGTAATAATTATACATCGCACACACAATTATCGGAAAGCGTTTGCAAACAAAAAATTCTATAATTTGCGCAACGATTTTATAAAATGGTCGTAATCTTTTGATCTTATAGTCAGAATCTCATTAGTTTGTTGCAATATCAGCTTACTTTATTCACTGCAACATTTAACACAGAAAATTCAAATTAAAAAAGAACAGAAAACAGAAATTTGCAAGCATCTAGTAACTATTTTAACAGTTACTTTATTAGTTACTTTTTTGGAAACATCCGCTAAAAGTATCGTTTAAGTTTGGTAGCCGTTATATTGTTAAATTAAATTTTGATAACAGTAGCATATGGATCTTTATATGATTTAATCTTTTACCTAAAATTTTCATTTGTGTACATAAAATAATATAACACATAATTAAAATCGACCAATCACAGTCAAATATTAAAAAAAATTCTTAAATGTAATAATTGATCGATTTGCTTCAAGAATTTTTTTAAATACTTGACTGTGATTGTGCATAAAATGTAAGCTCCTTATATTTAAAATAATGTATAATTATTTTTAAAAAGTAACTGAAAAGTAACGACTCGTTACTTTTTGAGTAACTGTAACTGTAATGAGTTATTTTTTAAAATCAGTAACTTGTAACTGTAACTAGTTACTTTTTCAATAAAATAACTGTAACTGTAACTAATTATTTTTACAAAGTAACTTTCCCAACCCTGGTTTTTTATTATGTTTAATTAATATGATTGATAAGACGCAAGTGAGCGCTCGAAACGTCTCATCTATGTAATAAATAATAGAAATTTCATGATTTAAACATATCTTTGTATTATTGTCATCTAATAACCACTCGTCTAAAACACCTTATATACCTATTGTTTATTTATTAATATTGTTACGTCCCTGATCTCTCATCCCCTGAATATCATCCCTTGTGTCGTGGAGCTTCATCGTTAAGGGGGGTTGTTTATTGACAACCGCCCGGTGGTTGTTTTCAGGCTCCATGACAGTTTTGGTCTGGCTGTCATCTCGTACGGACGTGACTTGACCAGAGAGCAATCTTCTTTCTTTCGCGTGTACATTAGTCATTGTATTTCATCATTGTATAAAGGATCATTTCTTCATAAGAGAGTGTATTTATTTCGCGAGCCGCGAGTGAGTGAGAGTGTGTGCGAGAGACGTCTTTTGCGAGAAAGAACGTCCGGAGGACGTAACAATATATTAAGATCTTATGTTCATATTTATTTATAATAATATGACTCAACACTCAAGCATTCATGAAAAATTGATCCATTAATCTTACGTAAAAATGGACCTAAAAAAGATCTTTTTTTTAGAAAAATGTAAAAAAGCGCCAAATTCAAAAAAGTAAAATAGAAAAAATAGTATGTTTCAAAGTACTGTAAACTTATGTTGTAAAATTAATATTTCTAAAAAAATATTGAAATCAGAAATTAGAAATTAATACAAAATAAAATATATAAAAAATTTTAGTTAAAAATCTTGGCGCTATACTTTCAAAATTGCTGCGATGTATTCTATTTGTAATATATCTTAGAGTAACAAATCATTCATTTACTGCTATAAAATTTTAATATATAATAAATATTTTTTTAATTACTTGCATTAAGCGTGATTTTACACTAGCTTTTTTATATTATATACGATGATTATATATTATATACGATATTTTATATTGTATACGATGATTCGACGATAATAGTACTCGCTGAACGTATTTTCTTTTTTGAAGCAGAATGTGCATGTATTTTTGTGAGAAGAAAATCTACATCTATCATTAAATAATGCAAAGTATATTTTTCAACGTAACATATTCAGCAATTATGAAGCATAATAATTATACATCGCATACACAATTATAAAAAAGCGTGTGCAAACAACAAGAAATGTAAAAAAATTTGCGCAACAATCTCAAGAGATGGTCGTAATCTCATTATCTCATTGTCAGAATCTCATTAATTTGTTGGAATATCAGCTAATTGGAATCAGTTTTAATCATTACAACACTTAGCATTGAAAATTCAAATTAAAAAAAGAAACAGAAAACAAAAATCTGCAAGCATATTAACCATTTTATAGTCTCATTTTTTGTTTATCAATTTCATATTGTCATTATTTATATTCTAATCTTATATTTTTGTAATTTTATACAATTAGATTCAACATTATGTTTAACATATGCGCACAACGAGAATCGAGACAGTCAATCACGGAAAAGCGACAACAGTGTCAATAACATGCATTTTTTAAAAGGGCGGATTCCATGCTGAATTGATCAAACTAACGTCAAAAGTTCCAACATATGTTCTTTGGTTTTCTTGCATAATTAAGAATAATAGATGTGTATATGATTTTATAATAGTAGACAAAATTGTGTGTGTGTGTTTCCTCGCAAAGTTATCCACAACTCGTCATGCTCGGTAGTTTCATTTCTTCTCTTGCACAGACACGTATTAACTTATGCAATATTGTCTTCTTTCAAGTAAAAAACGTCAAAGACGAATACAGTGATACATTATATGCAGTTTACTAAATTAGTGTGATAATTAAAAATTAACAACGCAATTGTCTAGATTGACAGTGTTAGTATAAAATCAGATCAACATTTTTAAAATTTTATAAAAAAAAACAAAAAGAAATTATTCAATTCGATTATATGTGTACATTACGCACTTGACACATATCTTTAATTTACTAAATACAAAAGCTATAGTAGGCACAAAATAAATATACATTTTTTAAGTATTGAAAATTAAAATTTATATGAGAAATAATGAATGTAGCAACAGGTTTGATTGATTTCTCTATCTAATTTCTGTAGTGAATCCTTTGTAAAATAATGTTTGTACAAAATTTTGCGGTTCTGCGTTGTGAGCTTTTTCTCCTCATCACTTCGTCATCGAAATCTCAGGAAAATTACACCAACAACAAAGATGAAGGTTATAATTTGACAGTACGATACGAGATATATGCAAATTCTACAACAATTTATAGCGACGAGATAAATCCACTGCGATATAATTTGTATGAAAGGTTTACCAACAATACGCAACATAAGGAAACGGAATATGAATTTAGCATTTTTTCCACGAATATCGATCGCGAGGATGTTGATTCAAAACTATCTAAACTAAGGAGGCGTTCTGCTCACAACCATGAAAATGATGACAAACTGATGTACACTTACATCAATTCAACAGATGTCGATCATGCAGAAAACTCTACGTCACTGGAGGTTTATGATAACTTGCTTGAAAAGAATGATTCCATGTCGAATACAATCTTTGAAAATTCCAATAAGGGTATTAATGAAAGTAACACTGTTTCATTCCAAATATGCCATAATATCACTTGCATTCTGTTCTGCTGTCCTCTTGGCAATATCATGAGATGGAATGACTCCAAATGTATTCCAAAAAAAATGGAATATGTTTTTCCGAATGTGTACGAATACATGAACGATTTAACGCAGAACGAAAGTAAAATAGTGGACGAATTCTTTCAGTTAGCCGTCTACGATCCGTGCTTAGGAAGCCGTACCGTGGCATACGAGGGTCATCAATACGATTATAAGATTTTTGCCAATGGTTCTATTTATATCCCTTATTATGCAACATTAATTGAATCGACATCATATTGCTTTACTATTATTTTGGAAAGGGGAAATACGTTTGAAATAACTTTCTGTTCAGATCTAAAGGAACTTTACAGAAACGCTATGAAGTACTCACCTGAGTTTCGTTGGATACATCGTATGATTGATATACATTGCAGCTTGAATTTAGTGGGTATATTATTTTTGGTGGCAGTATTTCTAGTGTATTCCATATTACCAGAACTCCGAAATGAACACGGCTTCATGTTGCGCAATTACTGTGCATGTTTATCCATCACATTCGTGATTGATACAGTCAAAGTTTTACATTTGAAAGAGGAACCGACATACATCCGTCCCGTCTGTATTACAATTGGTACAGTATATCTAGCAATAAATTACATAAATATATAAAATAAGTGCAGAACGTATTTGTCAATCATAATATATATCCGCATAATACATCTTTATTATTTGAATATATATAACACACTGGTTAAAATACAATTGTCAATAATGAATTAAACTAAAATTTAATGCATTTTAATTATAATCTAAGTTTGCCCCAACATATATATATATATATATATATATATATATATATGTATATACATATATATACGAAATTTTGTTTTATAGAATTTTGCAGTGTTAATGTCTTGAAATATTATTTAATTTAATATCGATAGTATCAGTATTCATAATAATGAATAAATATTGTTATTAACTTTTGGTGCAGAATATAGTACATAAATCTGTTTAAAAGTGAAGAATCAAAAACTTGAATCTTTTGATTTTTTTTCATTTTTACGCACGCTTAGTGATGAAAATAATATTTATTATTGTAACCTTTATTTATATTCATTTTTCAGCCTTTTTAAGATATTTTTGGTTTATGTCGAGTTCCTTTTGGCTAAGTATCATGAGCTTTAATATGTGGCGGACATTCAGGTAAATAGCCAAGTATTTTATATTGTACTTTAATTCTTGGTTTCTGATTTTAATCTGTCTTTACATATGGTAATTGCTTTATAGTATTAAATATACCAAAAATTTTGTCAAAATAACTTAAATTTTTTGAAATTAGAAATAGCATATATATTAAATAATATACATTATTTATTTAAATTAAAAAATATTTATGAATTATTACAACGTAATCTATTTCGCAACTTGATTTCAAACTTGATATTTATATTGCGTCGATCTTTCTTTATGAATAAAATAAAGCAATAAACAATAATTTTTTAACATAAATATATTTTTTATCTCTAAATATTAAATAATTTAATTTTTTTTTTCATAGAATAATTATGTAATTCGATAATAGTTTCTAAATATTATACAATGTAATCAAAAACAAACAATAATTTAAATCTTTTACAATGAGATTTCTTTTATTTACACTTACTTAGGTAAATATGACATGTACATTATACATGTAAATTACAGAGAATTTTCTTCGCTACAAAGGAACGTCAAAGGAATTATACAATCAGGAAAAAAAAAGTTGGTGTATTATGCTATTTTTGCGTACGGATGTCCATTTGTATTTGCAATTGTTTGTGTCATTGTTGCGGATTATTTATCCGAGTATTTACCAAAAAATTTGAGACCAGAATTCGTAGAAGGATCTTGCTGGTACTCTAGTCAACGTACGTTTTAGATAATTTTATTAATGTACGCAATTTAAAAGTATGCAACAGTATATAAGATATCATACTTGCAGATTTTGAAGCGTATATATTTTATTATTACTGGATCAGTACTACCTGTATTGTTAGTAGCATTTGCTTATCCATTTCTTCGTCTCGAAATATCAAACAATGTGAAAAGGATGCAAATTTTCGTCTAACAGATTCGGAAAGCAGGCAGTATAATCAAAATAAGAAATGGTGAGTAATCTTACATTTTGCATCACTCTGTGATAAACTTTTATTTTATATTAGTGAGATTTCTGTAGAAATATTTTTGTGAACATCTCTGCCGACATCACATACTCGCTTAATTCGCATTCCAGATGAAAAAGAGATACGATTTTTTGAAAACAATACATTTTAACTGTGCTTATTCTTGTCTTTTTATTATCATTTTTCCTTCTATTTTGTAATAACATAATCTATTAGAGAAGAAAAACAATTATTTCTGTAACTTGCATTAGGTCTTTTCAAAAACGTGTGTAATTCTCGAAATGTCGTAAAGAGTGAAAATCAACGAATATATATTTAATACATAAATAATTACATTTTTGAAGTATTTCTTTAAATGACTTTCTCATTTCCCCATTTTTAGAAATTGTAATTTGTTCCACCATTTTCAATTTAATAATTTGATACATAAAATTTGTTATTTTTTTTTTTAAATGACTAAATATTAATATATATTTCTTTGCAGGTTTAATCTATATATGAAGTTTTTTATCATATTGTTTATCACTATGGGTATAAATTGGATTTTGTATACAGTTGGATGGCACTTATATACAATACAATTATATTATTATTGTTTTTGCATTAATATTGCTAATGCTTTGTTAAATGTAACAGAGTATTTCTTGGTCTTTATCATATTTGTATGGAAAAAGAAAATCAAGTCAATGTTATTGAAACGATTCGGATTCGAGACAAATACATCGACTTGAATACCACTTTTGAGGAATCTATGCAGGAAAAGGCGAACTTTTGCGGAAAAAGATTTGTCACACGAAAAACTCATCTAATGAAATTGAATTCTACTGTTGTCAGTATGTAAAGAAAAGAGTTTTATCACAGATCAAATATCAACGATTAATATAATTGTATATAATCGCAATTTAATATAATCTTATAAAATTGAAAGTTACAATGTTATATTTTACGTGATGTTTAGATTTCTTCAAAGGGTTTAATTAAAAATTTTACATAGAAAATTTGTCTTATCGCAGTGCATATAATTATTTTAAATTAATGCGGTTTAAATTTAGTAAACATTTTTCGTCAAAAAATAATCTTTTATGAAAGCTATACAATATATTATGCTGTATATTATTATAAAAATGATTTCTGCTTCAAATAAAATCATATTATACATTTATATAAATATCCCTTATGGAAATTTATTATTAGTAAGACAAAATAATAACTTATTTCGGTTACTTAAATTACTGTATATCAGTAATTTAAGTACTCTCAAAATATGTGATTATTTGAACTTACCAGTGATAAATTTCCATAAGAGATATGTATATATAAAGGGAAAGTATGATTTGTTACAACTGATGACATGGTCCATACAAATAAACGAATATTTTTAGACGCAACGGTGTTAAATGTATTTATTGTTTATAAATAGTATATATTTTAACGAGGTGCTCAGTGTAGCTGAGATATGACAAAAGCGCGTTTATACATATATATATATATATATTTAAGAGTGAAAGAAGAATCAATGGATAAATATAAAGTATAAATAATAATCGAATAAACAATGGCTATCTCATCATTCATGTATGACTTCTAAATTTTTGGGATACTATAAAACTTTTTTGGCCGAAATAATTGAGTCAAAAATAAAAAAAAAATTATAAGAATATTTATTATTTTTGATATATTTCTGATATGAAATTCTAATGTATAGCATATTTCCTATTTTTAAAGCATAGTTTGAATTTTTTTAATTTATTTAACGCATTTTTCCAAGCTCTGGAAACAAAAATTCATTTGTTGCAGCCAAAGTCATTACAACATTTTTAATAATAAATTAAATTAGAGAAAATATTTCTAATGACGCCAGTAAATATAATCACTAGGATAAGAATATTTTAATGTGTAGACGACCAAACTGAGCAAATAGTATTCCTTTATTATATATTTGTCATAACGTTTCAACCTGTCAATGGGCTCTTACTGCGCCTGCTGTTGAGTGCGTCTTACAATTAGTTCGTTGGCGTCCGTCGACGTGTTCAGACGTGTTTTGTCTGAAAGAATTTTTTCCTTTTTGGTCCATTGTAGATCTAATTAGAACTTATGGCCGGGAAGGAAAAGCCAAGTCTGGCTTATATAGACCACTAAACCGTGAAGAAGAAGAAGAAGGGTGCGTCCGTGGAGTTTCTGCGAGGACCCCCGTCCTCTCTTCTCACAACAGCTCTCTATGTCCGTTTCGGCCGAATTCCTTTCCTTGGCTGATATTGTTTATGTCAGCAATCAAGTCGGCTACGTTCATCCTCGGCCGCGTTTTTGCCTCGTTATTTGCTGCTACGGTTAATTTCCTCGAAAATATAATATTCTCTCTTTCCTGGCAAGGCTCCCGAAAAATAAAAATAAAATGAAATAAAACTCTCTCTCTCTCTCTCTCTCTCTCTCTCTCTCGACGCAACCGCTCTGTCCTGCGATCGGGAGTGCACGTGCATCGGGACGACCACGTCAAAGTACATACACGGCATGAATGTTTTATGTCAAATATGTGTTTACTTGTATAACAGTCGAAAGTCGAAAGTCATACGCACGTATGCATAGCGCAACATTGTACGTATCGCTTAAAGCGCGACGATGGTCGAAAAGCAAAGTAGTAAGGCAATAGGACGGTATTGCGAAGCGTTTAATAAAAAAAACGAGAAATCACTCGGCACTCGATCAGATAAATATTAACGCGCTTTTTCGCCTTCTATCTAATACTATTAAATTCGTTTTTGTCATTAATAATTGTAAAAAAATTTTTAATAATTGTAATTGATAATTGTAAAAAAATTATTTGACTTTTACAATCATCTATCTTTATTTCTACAAATACACATTTTATTTGTACAGTAGAATTTATAACAGAAAAGCATTAAAAATGCAAAAATTCAAAAATTTACATAATCCTGTATACATACACATATAAGATTCAAAAAACCAAACACTCACAAACCGTTCCTTTTTTTAGTATGTGGGACTATTTTATATATCCTCCGGTAAGGGCTGTAAGTTATGAGACTTTTTCTTTATAGGAAAATATACCGCACTAAAACCCATACCTAATGTAGACACTGCTTCAAGTCAAGATAAGCGGAGTGTGTTTCTGTCATTCGATACACTGACCGTCCCTATCAACATATATAAATAGTATAAGAGCAAGGCAACGTTAAAGAATTCTTTAACGGCTAACAAAATTCCAACTTATACACATTATATTGCATTATTTTAAATATTTAGGCTAGATAAATAACATAATACTTCATATTTACGATTATATCTTAATGAAATAAATAGGTATCCAAATTTTTAATAATATTGCATTTTCAATATTGCGATATAATACGAATTATATTCTCATGGTTAATAGCTGCTATGATAAAAAAAAATACACGTATTGCTTATTTTAATATTTTTTCAACAAAGAGAGAGAGACAACAAAAAAAATGCAAACTATATGTATATACAGCATCGTCGAATTTAGCAGCGCGAATGTCTTAAAATCACTCGTATAATTGTTTATTCTCAACAGGCGCGACAAAGTGGGTTTCACACGCATAAAAAATATTTATCTATTTTAAAAAAGTATTGCTAATATCGAATAAGTATTTTTTCACAACAAATCAATATTATTAATTTAAAAAAAATAATGTGTTAACGGCACTATTGAAATAAATATTTATTTGAAATTAATAGCCTTTTTTAGTGTATAGAGTATAGATAATTGTCAAAAATATAAAAAGCAATATAAAGTTAATACAAACATCGAATCACTTGACAACACGTATTTCGACATTTTTGGAGAGTTGTCTAATATGTAATCCTTAATTACTTTGTTTTTTGTTTTGTTTCACATTTTAATTATTTAAATGTTACATCGAACTTTAATGTGATACACTCACCAACAGTCATGACTCTTTAGAAATAAGAAGCCTAAATAATGTTTACCAACATTAATATATATAACAGAGAAAAGTATAGAATCGAAAGGATCTGAATAGCTCAGCTGGAAGAGCAGTCGCCCGGCAAGCGAAAGGTCTCGGGTTCGATTCCCGATTCAGCGATTTTCGGATCTATATTTTTCTCTTGCATTCATTTATTTATTTTCCGTAGGGGGGTTAAAAAGGGGGTATTGAAATTAAATCTCAAATATGAGATTATTTCATATTTAAAATCTTGGCCGTGTCCAAGTAAAATTTGGTGCCTTGTGCACCGGTATTTAATTCTAACGGAAAATTATTTAGTTTTCGTTAGGATAACGCATTGTCATCCGCGATTTGGCTCTTGTTGCCCGTCTTATACGTTAAATTTATATTTATATTACAGAGCCTTGTTAAAACTCTTATATATTTTTTAAGTTTTATTTTATTTTATAGGTAATTGTAATAATATGATTTTTGCTCACATTATTTCAAATTGTTGAAGAAGGATAAAAGACGATAGTATTAATTTTTATCTGAAGAACGCTCGCGAGAAAAGAAGAGAGATATTTCTTTCTTCATCCGCGAGCGATAAGGATAAACAAAGTAGTGCGCCGTCGTTCTCATGCCGTATGATTATGTTGCACTGTATCTACAATATGTATATTAGACATGCAATCAATCTTTTTTTCTGCAAATAGAGATAGAAGAAATTTAAGTAGTGCGATGCGAAAAGGTTTTGATTTAAATTATATAAGAAAAATAAATACACCAGCGCAATGTGTTTTAAAAAGTATAATTATTTCGTATTTGTTCAATGATATTTGTGACGTCATTCTGACTATTCGTTTTATTAAAAAAAATTGCAACTAATCGATTTAGGCGTTTAAAATAATATATGCAATAACTAATGCAAAATAAAAATTTTTAATATTTTGTAATAAATATTTGTAATTACATTGAATGTTAGATTGAATAAACGTTTGATAGATTTCTAATGGAGCGAGGGAAAACCAGGAACAAGCAGACAACGAACACATTTTTAACAAAAACTTGGCCGGGTCGGGACATTAAAATTTGACATTCAATAAATTGTAAAATTTGATATGCAATTAATTGTATATTAATATGCATCACTAAATTTATGTATAGAATAAATAAAATTTTCTTCAAGTATTTGTATAACTAAATCAAATCTATACTTCTATACTAATATATAAAGTAGTAAGTTGTTCGTTTCATTGTTAGGGGTAATCTCAGAAACTATTCAACCGATTTGCAAAAGATCTTTCACTAGTGAATAGCTTAAATCTTCCTGAGTAACATAGGCTATATGCAATCGTCTTGCAATTTCTAAAAATGTACGCGTCGTACAAAAAACGTTCATTACGCTTTATATTTTCTAATAATTTTTTTAATTTAACATTGTAGTGTAAATAATTCATATGTACTAGTGAAGATTTTATCATAATCAGTCGTATAATTATTAAATTATTGATAACAAATTTACTTCTTTATATATTAGTATAGATAGATAGATAGAAGTATAGATAAGTAAGTATAGGGCTTTTAATAGGTAATAGTATGAAAAAATAATATCGTAACTTTAAATAAATAAAAACATAAAAGCTTTAACATACTAAAAATGAAAGTATATTTAGAATAAATAAGCTATAAAAGCCAAACGTGGATGACGGTACGTTAATTACACCAAGAATTAATTTTTTACTGTAATTAAATAATGTGTGCAAACACGAATTCTTAGCATACTGCTAAGATTTATTTCAGGAAATGTAACTCAATCCAAAATTACTAAATTTGCTTATTTCCCCCTGACCCCTCTGTAGAAAAAAGACGAGAAAAGTATTGATCCGAAAGTAGTTAATCAAAAACTGAACCCGAGTTTTTCGAATTTAAATTTGAATTGTTATTTGCTTATTCTCATAAATCCACAACTACACTGAGCGAGCGAGAAACAAGCGCCAGCTATGTACAATATATGTAGCAACGCATATACGACTATATACTCATGTCCGTCAATTTTAACTTTTTATATTTCTTGTAACTTTGTGCTCCTCTGTGTTTCTCATACCTTGTAATCCATTAACAATATATGGCTTAGAAATACACGAATCCTCTTTTTCATCACAAATCTGAAATTT